GGGGAGCAGGTTTGGGGGTGGCACATTCCACATGAAGCATGAGCTCCTGCCGTATGCCAGCACTGGCCTGGCTGCTGGGGAAATGCATTTGCTGATACAGTCCAGTGGGGAAGGCAGACAACACTGATGGGAACAAAGTAATGAGAAGGCCTTTGAGATAGTAGTAAATATGCTAGGAAGGAAAGAGAGAGAGAGTGACTGAGGGACAACCTTAAATAGGTGGCTCTGAGGAAGGAGCATTGGAGCAACACAGAGAGTCAAGTGCTTTACCCCAGGCCACACAGTAAATTCAGGGAAAGCCAAGCGAGGACTCATCTCTGGTCTCCCACTCTAATAGTCTCCCTCCTTCTAGAAACATCCTTCTCTTGGATTCTGACATGTTGTCCTGTTGGATGTTGCTTCTCTGAGCCCTTAACTGTCTCACTGTCCTCCCATCGTTGGCTGGTCCCAGCCCTTTTCTGTTTGGAAGGCGGGCTGTACCCTGATGGCTCCCAAACTTATACCTCCATCCCTCACCTGTCCCCTGAGTTCCAGTATCCTGTTTGAACTCTCTACTTGGATGTCTAATGCTTCTCTTGGTTAGGATAATGCTCAGTCAATATAATAGAGACCTGAAATTAGAGTAGTTTAAAAATATTCACTCGACTGCTCTCTCATATGGCAGCTCCAAGAGATGTGTTTCAGGCTGATAGGTTGCTCAGATCCACAGGGTCGTTTAGGGGCCCAGATGAATGATAGTACCTCTATCTTTAACACGAAGCTTCCAGGCTTTCTCTGGTTATCATTCTTCCAGCCAATGTGAGGGGAAGACATGGAAGTCTATGGCAGGAATTTCCTCTTAAGCAACTGAGGCAGAAGTTAGACATATCAGTTCTGCTCACATTCCACAGGTGAGAATTTAGACATACGGCCGCACCTAGCTGCAAGGGAAGTCGGGAAATGTGACCCTGGATGGACAGCTCCAGCCTCCATCACAGTTCACCCTCTAGAACAATGAGGCCTTCTCTGCCCTGGGGGTGGAAGGGGTTCTCTGGGGGTTATGCCTCATCCTGTATCTCCCTGGCCCTTGCCTTTGCCCTTTGAGAAACTCCTTGTCTGTCGCTTTCCACGAACACCCAAGAGGGTGTTGAAATCTATCCTCCTTGGGCACTTATTTGGGCTGGAACAGTCATGGACATTTCAAGTCCAGGCCTGCAAATTTGTTGGTAATACCTATCCTTTGGAAACTTAGTAGGCTTCGGGTCTGTCCACTTCTAGTTAGTTCCATGTACCAGTGACCATACCCAAAGTTCCTTTCTTGACAGTCACTAAGTCTGTCTGCCTTGCCCAACCAATCTCTTTCTCTGTGGTTTTAAACGAAAATTACCCTAAGGATGTGTGAAATAATAGACTTGGATGACAAGGCAACAACCCCAATGTGCTTTGACACAGGAGTGATGGCTTTGTTTGGCATAATGTTTGGACTAATAGACAGGCTTTGAGAAAGGCTCTGAGCCCCAACAGTCTGATCTCCCACTCTTTGGACAAAACCAATTGGTTTTTCCAACCCTGAGGACATCAGTTTTCTGGACTCACTTTTTCTGTCCATCTATTCTGGCAAACTAGCTAACCTCTTTCTTGTAATATCTTACTAAAAGCAACATAAACAGCCAACATATCCAAATGTTTTCAACTCTTTCTAACCATTTTTCTCGAATTATAAGTATGTGGTCTGTATTCAAAATTATTACAGGTAATGTTTCTAATAAATGTTTTGTCACAGCGTAACAAGGGTCACCAGCTTTCCATCTTCCAATGTTTATTTCTGTATTGCTCACCACCTATTGGCTAAGACAATGACACATATTTTAGGGCTTTTATACATAGCAGCTTCCCATTTTTGGCACCAGTTTCTGAATGAGAGTACAGTCATGTGCCACATAACGATGTTCAGTCAACAAGGGACTGTGTATGTTACAGCGGTCCCATAAGATTATAATGGAGCTGAAAAATCCCTATTACCTACTGACGTCATAGCCATCACAGTGTTGGAGCACCAGCCCATTCCTCAGATGTTTGTGGCGATGCAGGCGCAAACTTACTGTGCTGCCAGTCACGTAAAAGTATAGCACATACGATTATGTACAGTACATAATACATAATAATGATAATAAACAACTTTGTTACTGGCTTACGTATTCAGTATAGTATACTTTTTATCATTATTTCAGAGTGTACTCTTTCTGCTTATAAAGACGAACGTTCGCTGTAGAATGGCATGCTGCGTTACGCCAGCTGCAGCCTCATACGCCTTGTGTTTACCGAGTATCGATGCATCATTTTTCTCCTGTGCTGATTTAATCTCATGTTGTTTTGTCTGGTATCCTGCTGCACAGGCTTGTAGCCTAGGAGCAATAGGCTACATCACATAGCCTAGGTGTGTGCAGTAGGTGTATGTAAGTGTACTCTATGACGTTTGCACAACGACAAAATAGCCTAATGACGCATTTCTCAGAACAGATCCGCATTGTTAAGTGCTGCATGATCATATTGCTAAGCTGCGATCGAAAGGAACTCTAAAATACAGTGGCCTTAAGATTATAGAAAGTAATTTTTCTCTCACGTAATCTAGTTCTGATATGAGCATTCCAGGCCGCACCCCGGTGGATGGTGGATTTTGATGCACGGCTAGCAGACTCCACAGTGGCTTCCCCTTCCCAGCCTCTTCTTCCTCCCAACATTCCCCTGGAGTCCAGGGCACCACCATCTTATACTTGCTCCGGCCAAATACATGAGAGTCAGCATCGATTCCGCACCACCCCCATCTAACCCATTGCAAATTCTCTCCATTCTCTCTTCAGACAAATCCGACCATTTCCCTATGTCTTCACTGTCTTCACCCTAATCCAAGTTTTCAGTGTCTTATATCTGGAGTCATGGGACAGTCTTCTAAGTGGACTCCCTGCCTTTTCCCTGGTCCCTTTCCAGTCTACTCTCCCCATGGCAGCCACAGGGAGCTTTTAAAAACATAAATTAGAGCTTGTAGCTCCCCTGCTCAGAACCCTCCAGTGTCATTCCATTGCCTCGAGAGTAAAATGCTGTCTCTTTAACGTGGTCGTCAGAGGCTTCTGTGACTGTCCCTACTTCTCATGCCTCTTATCTCTCTGCTTTAGCCACACGGGCTTTCTTGGTGTTCCCGAATGAGCCAAGCTTGTTCCTGCCGTAGGACCTTTGCACTGGGGTTCCCTCTGCCCGAAATGCTCTCCTCCCACTTGGGCCCATGCTGGTTCCTTCCTAGTCCTTTACAGGGCAAATAGTGGAGAAAAGGGAGGGCTTAGGAGCTAAGTCGCCTGCCTGGGTTTGAATCTCAGCTCTGCTGCTTATTAGCTGTGTGACCTTGGGGCAAGTTGCTTAGCTTCTCTGTGCCTTGGTTTTCCTATCTGTAAATGGCAATAAGAAAAGTGCTTGTTACCCAGGGTTGCTGGAAGGATTAAATACAATAGTTAACACATTGAGTTAATGCATAAAAAGTATGTCAGCATGGCACATATTAAGCACTTTGAAGTGTTATTGTCCTTCGGGCATCGCCTTAAATATCACCCACTCTGAGAAGCCTTCCCTGGCCGTCCCCTCCGCACATCACTCCAGCTGCATCCTTATCACGCCACCCACAGCACATATTCCTGTTACTGTGTTTATTGTCTGTCCCTCTCCCTTAAATGTAACTTCTGTGAGGGCAGGAGCTGGTACACAGTAGGTTCTCAAATCTTCGTTGAATAGCTACAGGCAGAATGGAGGCCAAATCCCACTGAGGCCCTCCCTTCCCAGTGACCCATGCTGAGTGTCTGCGGGCCTCAGCACTTCAGGACAGTGCTCACAGTTTCCCCTGGGAAGTTGGGGAATATGGCAGGGGACCTGCTTTTAGAAGCCCCAGGGGCACTGGTGGGTATCAACCCTTAGCAGGGGACTATAGAGTATGGACTCTGGAGTTGGCCTTACAGGGTTCATCAGTTATGTGCCTCCATTGGGAGAGTACCTGTTACCTCACGGGGTGGTTATGAAAATTAAATAGGATAATATATGTAAAATGAAGCTCCCTGGCTGGCTTGGAGTGCAGCTCTCCAGATGGCAGTTGTCTTTGTTGGTGGTGGTGGTGGTGCCATATCTAAGTGCCATCCTTCTGAACATGAATGGGGGTGACCTCAAGACTTGGTGGGGTGGAGGTAGTAAGGAGACAAACATAGAGAAGCCATCTAGGGAAGAGAAGAACTGTAATGGAATAATAGGTCGTGTCTGTATTTCTGCGTGCCTCTGTGTTTTTATTTGTGTTTGTACGGGGGTGGAGGGCGGTGGCAGGGATCGATCAGAGAAACGCAACTCTTCCTTCGAACTCAGTTTTGGGAAGCTGGGTGCCCTGGCTGTCCACACTACAAGGACAGCCTGGAGCTGCCTCTACCAAATATGCTACGCCCCCCCCCCCTCGGCGCCCCACCCCCACCCCCACGCACGCAGAACCCGAGGCAGAATAACCAGCGGCTTAACTGCGCCTCTGAGATTAGGGGGCGGGTAAGGGGGACCTGTGCCCCCGCGGCCATCATAGTTGGTACAGAACTGGCGATCCTAGAATGGGTAGTGACATTTCAGGACCCCAGCTCCCCTGCCGCCCCCGCTGCGCCACGTGCTTCGGAGCTTCAGATGCTCCCGGAACCCCCGCGGGCGGGGCCTGCCTTCCGGAGAGGGGAGCGGGGAGCGGGGCTGGCGGGGGGCGGGAGGCATCGGGAAAAGGGCCGTTACTTTCCCAGAGTGGCGGGGCGACGTCAGGCGGAAGGGCGCGGGGCGCACACGCT